TTGATGATGAAAGTATTATTTGAAGATTTATGTTCCAAAAATGTATAGCTCAGTACAAAATCCAAGCTAATTAATGGCAGTGGAAGTTGCAAAAAAACCATTTTTGAATCAATTTATCATTGATATGGATTTAACACATGAATTTGTGAATCTCCATTATGATAATAAAATTGTGTTGCATTTTGCTGCAAATTATATTATGGACAACAAAGTGAACAATATTGACATAATATATCACATATATAATACAACTATATACAATTCATAAAAGTATTGAACTAGTCAATACTTAGTATACACTCAATCCAAATAACATGTTGACTAAATATATATTTTGGAAATTTTTAGTGAATTTTGTGCTACTTTGCAAGTTACATATGAAGAGCATAAGTAGATTTTCATTAGTAATTGTATTGCCTCTATATTATTTTTTCTCTACGATGTTTTGGCTAACTAGCTTTAGTGTAAAGAGTAATTTATTTTAAATTTTTATCTATAACTTGTCTTAGAGCAATTGTGTAAATTCTGAAGATTGAAATATTCATATATATATATATAATTAATCTACCCCATAATTCGTGTTGTGAAGATTACAATCTTCACAATACGAATTTAGGGTTAGATTGTCATAAGGTAATTCATGTTACGGAACACTTTTTAAATGTTCCGGTAAACGTAATCAGTAGTTATGAATCACAAATTTTGAAGTGTATTCTTGTGCGATCTCAAATATCTCTTAATATGATTTGGCATAACATGCAACAAGTGATATCATTATGAAGTACTTGATTGTATATTGACATTTTATAAATACTAATAATAAATTTATTACAAAATATACATTCTGCAACAATATTTAGCCAAGAAAATTTTAAAGTTGTAGAAAGATGTGCAACTAAAATATGTCTTCATCACAATCATTGATCTTTTTATACATATGTAGTCTTAAACATGCATAATTTTATTTTATTTACAACTGCATATTTTTAAATTTATGATCCATATATGTGACGAATGTGATGCAAATTGTATACAAGAATAAATCAAAATCTTCATTCACGCTGGAAAAAAACAAATTTCTAAAAATCAAATACTTTTTCAATTTTAAGATTAAAATTTTTAAATTTGATTGATTTTTAATTATATATATATATAATATAAAAAAATTTATATATGTTTTGCAAAACAATTTGAACATTATCAAAATATTTCCAAATATTATCAAAGCAAAGCTATCAGAATTTTGATCTTTTTTAAGACCTTAAAGTAATAATGATGTAATATTCAACATCTTATATAAAAAATATACAGGAATTAAAAATTATTCAAGTTAAAAGTTTTGTAACATAGTGGAGATAAAGATTTATAATTCATACTGATTTAGAAAAAAAAATTCTAAATTTCATGCTTTTACATTCATGATAGTGTTCTTTTCAAACATAACATATGACACAAAAAGTTTTTCTACATTTATTCTAAAATTACCAAAAAATCATTCATTAAAATTGTAATGTAATGTATGTTAAAAGCTTTTTGGACAAAAAGATAACTGGTTTTTTAAAAATACTGTTTGAAATTTTCATTATATTCTTACTAATTTATTTCATATTCATTACTTTTTATGAAAAAAGAATTGTAAAGTTTTAAACAATTCAATCTAGTGTTATACAATCCACTTTATATGAATTGAAAAATATATGTTTACAAAGATGATTGAATTTAAAGTGAAAAAATTTCTTAGTTGAAATATTTTATGATATTAAATAAAAAACTTTCATTTCGATTTTCAGATGGGTTTAAGTGAGTTTAATATAGTTTAAATTTAATTTTATTTATAATTATTCCAAAATATATGATATTTTCACATAATATTTTTTATATATTATCATATTTTGGAAAATGTACTCTAACATGTGACAAATACTTTTTTTTTATTTTCAGTCCTATCCCATAAAGTTTCTAAGGAATCAAAAATAGTTTTTCAATCTTTTATTTCTTTAATGTTTTTCCCAATTTTTTTCATTTTTTGATTTTTTCATAAAGATAATTTGTGTTATTTTTTAATTCTTAAATCGCTTTTTTCTCTCATCTCTATACATTCAAGACTATTACCATTTAAATCTTGAAGTAAGTAAGTAAGTATATATATATATATCTCGCTAAGAAACATACAATATAAGTTATGTTTTACGTTTTTGGAATATTTGTATACAATATTTATCCCGACGGAAAAAGTCTGTATTGCAACTCAAAGCACTTTCTTTTCAGAGATTTATATTTTGAAATATTTTATTTCAACTTTCAATCACTTCAAGTAGATTTTAATCTCACACCCAAGTAGTTCATTTGATTCTATAATCAATCGCTCATCAGGTCAACAATTGATGCATGCGTGTATTTCTGTCTCAGTCATTTTCAAATGCTTGACAAGTACCAAATTTTTTTGAAACATAAGTTAACTGAATAGTGCTATAACTTACTTTCCAAGAATTTACATGTCATGTAAACCTCCGTCACTTGACTTGCGTGCGTTGGAATCCTTTCCACACTTAGCTCTATTTAGCCTCTTCCACATCATACTAAACTAACTGAATGAATCTTTGCTTGAATGAACTGGTTACGAAAAGTGTAATACTACTCACAGATTTTCTCATGATTGCTCTCTACAGAGCTTCCTTAAATTTATTTCCCGATGTCAAATTTGTTACGACACAAGCTGATACTTTGAATCAATATATTGATTTCGGATCTTGTAAAAGAGATATCACACCATTCACAAGTAGGCTTGAAAAAGACATGTTGAACGTACATTCAGATTGTTCTTTCAACGCCTGCTTCCACAAAAAGCCCCAAAAAAATGTAAGTTTTCTGAGATAGAACCAATCATCGACTGACCTGCACCGAAGGTCGGGGATAGTGCTAAATAGAGAACACTGTTAGCGTCCCTTCCTTTTGCGTCCTACACTGGTGATCTCTTCTGAAAGCTATCACTTAATACGTGCATATTGATCAATGTCAGTGGTCTGTATGTGTAATGTGTGAGCTCATATGTACATGATCTATTCCTGTTCGTGAAGTCTTTGTCAACAACTTGCCTTCAGAAAGTGCTCCTTGACTATTGACGAGTCAATTTTATTTTCCCAATCTATCGATTCGTCACGCCAAGTGACAAGTATGGGCACTCCGAGGATACAAGTACTTCAGTGATGAACCAGCCTTACTCTTCACTCTGCTGATCTCTGATAAGCTAAGGAGTAAGCAGCAATCGGACAAGCTACACTGCTCATAATTTGACAAAACTTTTACTTCGTGTTAAAGCACTACATGAGTATTAGATAAAAAGACTTCACAAACCATGACACTCAAGGTTTATAACCAGAGACAGATTTATCAAAAAATATTCAAGCGGAAAAAAAACACAGCAAAAGTAAAGGATATATTGCATACTTCCTAGCATAGTTTGTAGTTCAAACTAAGCTAGGATACACATGGACATCTAAAAGACCATCATATGAAGGGCAGTGTAGACTTGTATGCAGCCCCGTATAGGATAAAAGAATGTGAGAAGACAAGACCAGTTTAAGCGAAGGAAAAACTGAGAAAGAAAGAAAGAACTGAGAGTGATCAGCAATGATCAGATTGGAATGATTTCCTACCATACTATGACGGGAGTGATCTGTAATGTGGTCAGGTAAATGACAATCAGACACATATATTATTTATTGAAAAGTAGAAAGATGCAGCATGCCACATAGAAGGAAGAGGGGGATAGAGGAACAGGAACGGAACTATGCTGGGGCACTTGACTTGAACACACGAAGGAACGACGATAAGTATCCACCAACAATGAGGTATTCAGTGCTCGATGATTAAGCGGCAAAGAGCCATATATGACTAGGAGGACTATCAACCCACGCAGAAACGCATACCAACCTTCAACAGATACACCGCATGGTTCTCGGTAGCCGCACCTTTAAAAAGACAAGCCACGACCTAAAGGAGGAACAGCAACAACCCCGAAGATGAAAGCCGAACACCATGATGTTCAAGTCCTGTAGCTGCTTGAGTCGATATTATTAGGTCGATACCTGGAATTCAGTCAGTTGTTCGGTCCACAAAAGGCAAACAAGGTGGTGGAAATGGAAGATTCCCAAACAGACGAGAAGAACGGAAGGAAAACAAAATTGGAGGTTAAAATATATCTCAGATACTGCAAAGGACCTCACAGTATCTGAGATACTTACACAGAAACATTTGAAAATTTAAGCAAAAGTCAACACATAGGGTTGTGCATACTCACAAACCCAACTCACAGATCGTCAATGTGTGGGTAGAAATCCTAAATAACACATGCAGCAACAAACCTACTAGGAATGGTGAAAAGACAATAGAAGGGAGACAAGGCCCATGACGTTTGTGTGCTGTGCATAAAGCCTGACCACCGAAACCTGTGATTTAACAATATTTACTCCCTTGATAGAGAATAATACAACTGTACTTGAAGAGATTGCAGTTGATTCAACTAAAAGAATTGAGTCTTGATTCATGAGACTTAATTTTGAACAACTTGGCCACCATTATCTGATAATGAACACCGTGCAATGCCTGACTTCTTAACCAGTCTATGATGTGAAAATAAAGATGAGATTGGAGCTCACAGCACCTCAAGAACATGTTGCATACAGTAATTTACTTTCCTTCGACGCATGTGGACTTCCACCGTCAAGGCTCTAGAATTTATGATAGTTCGCTTCAAGACGATGCGACGTCAGCCGAGGAGAATCTACACGGAAGAACCGTCTCCTGTAGCAAGTCTTCCCTCTCGTCGTCAACAATCGTCTCGGTCACCACGACGTCCCTCTCACCACATCTTACTTTTTCCACTGCTGCCTTGAATCCAGACTTCAAGGCTACTCGGCGTCTCTGCTCATAGAAATCCTCTATTTGTCATCTCTATCTCCCTGAGCCTTTCCGCACTCCGCTGTTACTGCCTTCCTCTCTCAACTTCTATAACATGAGTACTTCGCTCGAATTCTATACAATCGCCAAACGCTTGCAGGTTGCGCCGTCAACTGTGCGATGTCTATCCAAACCCATCGCATCGGTAAAAAGGTTACATTTCATAGACATTAATTGTAGGCAGAACGATTTCTACTAGCTACGTCTTCATGCGAAGCTCGCCGTGGGAAGCTAGTCTAACAGACCCGACAGACTCATTGGTAGAACATTCCCACCAGGTCACAAATCATCAACGACCAGCTCATTCATAATCGTTGGCAATTCGAAAGTCCAGTGATCTTGCCTCATCCCTTACCTTTTTCTGCTGCTTCTCGACGGAATACTTAGTCCACATCATGTTACCGAGAATCAGAGCAAATATCCCAGTCCCTATAGCCGCTACCAACACATTGGGTTTCACATGCAGCTCCGGATTCACTATCCGAGACACAGGTGAGGCCTGCCTCTTCCAATATTCGCCTGGCCCTCCTTCCGCACTCATTTTGCTCTGCTCGAGATTTCCTTTCTCCCACTTTCACGGGTTCGATTGAATGCCGTCCTAGCCTCCCCAGATTCTACTGTGCCTCTCCACTGAGGGTGCACTCTCGAGCGCATGATCAAGTGACCAGGACTTTAACAATTTACGACAACCTAAAATTATAAATTCCATGATGCAAACAGGGCTTTAAGCAGGGTTTGACACGCATGGCTGAAAGCCACCGGGTCACCCCGGGAATACTACACAAAAAGTCGGGGCTACGCCCCGACTTGAATATTTTTTATTCCTGGGGTCACCAGGATTTGTCCAAAATAAAATTCCGGTGCCTTCAAAAGTATTTTATACATGCTGGATCTTTTTTTAGTATTATCATGGATATTTGTGAACAAATGAAACATGGATTTGAAAATCTCAAACTTTATTTTCAACTTGTGCCCATTCCCAACAACTCAAGGAATTCTTCACCCAGCTCAACACCACTAGGTTACTAACTACAATTGATGAATCAGCATCATAGAAAGCATGCTCATCTAGATTATCGTCCTCAACATCTTGATTAAGATTTACGCTGTAACCATCATCTGTGTTCCCATCATAATCAAGTGCATTCACAGCTTGGAATAATGATGGCAACTTGAAGTTCTGAGGCTTATGATGATACAGTTCCTCTATTGTAAATAATCGAAATTCTCCAAAGACTTTGCCAAAGTCTTGTCCGAATGACTGCATCAATTGTTTTGATACGCAGCCTATTTCTAAGCTTGGTTTTAATACTATTGTGCAAAGAAAAACCTCGTTCAGCAATGGCACTATTGAGGGGATGACTAGACAAAGATACACAAATTTAAGCATGTAGCCTAGCTCCAGCCCACGCTCATCATGAATGTTCCTCCAGACGAGAAGAAACTCTACATGCGGATCCTTGGCTGCTAACCACAACAGGTGCTTCATCTTCGAAAACTCTTTGTTGACCTGAGACAATACGGACGCATCAATTGGGAACAACTGCTCTCTCTTTGTCATGTTGCAAAAATGTCTCAACAGAATTTTGTAATCTGAGACATCAAATTTATCAAGCTTTGACTGCTTTAGGCTTCTATAAAATGTAGGATCAACAATTTTGAAGGCACTAAGCACATCTCCATCGGGAAAGCGTTCTAAAAGGTTTGACTCAATTTCCTCCACCAGCACCTTGATGAACACATGAACGTGTTCCACACTGAAACCAGGATGACCTATCAAAGGAATCCTACAGCTCTCATTGACCTGCCAAATTAGAACCTTTGTGGTCCCATTCTCTTGAACAGATTTTAAAAATTGTTTCAATTTATCACCACCAACCCGATCCTCAGAGCCACATATATCCCTCAGAGCATATAAACACACCTCAAGTCGACCAGAAATTTTATGAGGTAGGTTGCTCTCTTGCTCAAAATATTTTCTAAACTCCTCTAAGGATTTCAATACATCAGCAACACTATGCAGTAGGCAGATGAAAGTGACATCAGTGACAGACTTAAGTAAATCTGCAACTTTCTCCCAACCCTTCTTGCCTGACTTTCTCTTCAAGAACAAAATTAGCGTTGCTAAATTCTCTTGTAATGATGCCACGCACTGAGCTCTGGAAAACCACCTAGTGGCATTGAATAATGGAAATTGTAGTTTGGACACACCTCGCCTCCTATCAAAGCGTGTCCATTGCATTTGACGAGATCCTAATTTGCTGAACAGATTATGCACCGCCTTCAGAACAACGTCCAACTCTTGAAGATCTTCCATTTCCTTGGCTGTGTCTCCAAGGGCTAGGGCAGTCTTGTGCACTGCGCAATGGACACTCAAAAGATAACCCACAGTTTTTTGCAACTTTGCGCCCAATCCATTGTATCTACCAATTAGTGTGGAGTCACCGTCAGTACAAATAGCCGCCATCTTTGATATTGGGATATCAAAGACATTTAACACCGCACATAGCATCTGACACATTACTTGGGCTGATTTATCACCCAAACTAACGGCGCACAAGAACTCTGATCGTGGCATCCAAATATCACCATCCTAGTACCTATTTTATACAATTACCAACACAACATGGTTAATGATTCATCAATATTGCCAACTACATTTTAACACAATTTTCTGCAATATTTCTTTGAATGAAGAGAGATCACCTGAGAAATATCAAACAATGATCCTCGTTGCCGATGTCGTTAGAATTGTCTAGTATGACAGAATAGAAAGAACTAGAAGCTACCCTAGCCAACTGTGATGCTAGAAGGCTTTCACTGATCACCGAAAGGAATGACCAAAAGTAACGCTTCTGGTTATACTTCCGGTTAATGCATGGATGCCCCAACCAAGCTAGATACCTGTATTGGCACACGGATGAAAATATATCCTTACATACTTCACTAGTCTTGAAAACCAACAATTTTGAATGAAAGTATAACCCACATGATGTAGTGCATGCATTGGAAGGATTTGCCTACTCACCCTAATAAAACAGCCCATTTTGAAATGGGCAAATTCTCTAAGACAACCAGAAGCGTTAGAGAAAACGCTGTGTGCAAAAAATTATTTGTTGCCACTTGTGAATGAGACACAGCTATTGCTCTGCTCTTCTTAAACCCTTGCCGTTGCTTTACTTTTGACGCAGCTGCCTTATGCTTTATCAATGAAGCATGATCGCTTACAAAGCCTACATAAAAAACATTAGATCATATTCATATAAAAATTCATACATTATAATATTTATTGCAAAAAGCAAGTATGAGAATATTTGGAAAAATATATATACTCACTTGCATCTTTGCAAACAGCGCCGGTCTTGGAAGCAAAGTTATTTGCGGCTTGTGATTCTGTGCATATAAAGCAGCTTATGAGGGGATGTCCATCTTCTTTCCTGCCTACCAATGTAGCCCACTCATATTTCTCCATCCAACTTTGCACTGTCAAATCAGAGGCAGCATACTTCTTCTTCTTATTGAGAGTTGATGTTGTGGTCTGCTCGCTTGGTTTGTGGTCTGCAAATAGAATCAAGACTATGTCAATATATGGTTGATAAAAAAATAACTATGTTGCTAGAAAAACAACTACCAACAGTATTTTCTTACCAGTTGCAGCATAAATTTTGATAGCTGCATCTGCAACGCTGCAATCAAAACACAACTGGGTTTGGCCAAGGTCAAGTTGCAATTGATTGGTGATATTTTCAGCAGCACAAAGATGATGCACTGTCCCAAATGTACATCTCGCACATTGCCAAACGGGTAACTCAGGAACTTGACATCCGTTAAAAGCTCGAGCCCAACTGCAAATAAGATGGCTACTGGTTGAAGCACCATCTGTGCTAGGCTTTGCAGATGCACTATCACCTGCAACAAGCAACAAGATAACATTCAATTCAACATTCATAAAAGTATTATATATAACAAAATTCAATTGAACAAGTCAAATTTCAACTACAGTCTACTACCTTGCACAAAGTTAGGCTGCTGTGTAGGTTTTGTCAACCCCAAACTTTGTGTCAACCGCTGCTGTACGCCAACAAACTTGCTACGTTTCTTTGGTTGTTGTTGTATCAAACTCGATATTGCTTTTCGAACAACAGCGGTAGACATCTGCAAGGAGGAGTTATCGATCGCTCGCCATGAAGGATTGGCTGTTTCATCCATATTGTCAACTTAATGAAAACTGCCTGCACACTAAGCAATTTGGACACAAACAGGCCCATCGTAAAGGACTATAAATTTATAGCCAAAGATGATCAAGAAGAGATAAAACTTGGAAGCACCAAAGAGACTCACCAAAGAATACTAACAAACCAGTGATTTCAACATTCTAAAATGCAAGATTTCAAATCAAAGTACTAATGAAACGAAACAAATTTTTTCAAAATCATTGATAAACCTGACGCATTAATAATAGACGTAAAAAAATTTGAGGAAAAATACCAGTTTCATTCAAGAAGAAAATGAGCACATGTAAAAGATTTTCTACCGAATGCTATTTGTTGAGGTGGAGTTGAAGGCTCCAAAGGCCTGTCTACAAGAGCAGCTGTAGGAACTGCTTCGAGTCCTTGAAACTCAGAATTGCATGACAAATGTCAAAACGAATAAACCTTAATTAAGTTAAACCAGAACTCCTCTCTTGGCAATAGTAGTATACTATATACTATACTACTAGCCAATACACTATTCTCGGGCATATTCCTGCATAAATCTATCTTCAAAAATACAAAGGTTCGTGAACGAATATTACTCGGCACACATATAAGAGAAGCATCCAAGATCCAGATCTACATAGCTCGGAGCACATCACTGCCATATCAAGCCAAAATATCAATTTAGAAATCAACATGTACTACAAAAATCAATGCCTACCACATTGAGTGCTTGTTAAGAAAGTTGCGATAGAAAATAACCGCGCGAAAAGCGTATAATTTAGGCTTCGGCAGTATTTTTGAGAAGGCATTTAGGATCCTACACAAAAAGTGCATTACATTAATCAACATAGCATTCAAAGTCTTGAACAAGACATCCCCATAGAAGACACTGCAGTCAACAAAGATTTTCTTTGTCGTCAGGCGGACATTTGCATTGATTAGTATACTTCGACTTATGACTGTAAACATGACCGCATCATTTGTGTGAAGTAGGATGAGCATAAGAAGTAGAGAAATGACACATAGAGAAGAGCTTTGCAATTTCTTCACACTACCTTGAGTTGTAAAACCAGATGCCATTCACTTCTTGGGCGACATTCCGGTACGGCAAATATGGAACTTGCACTTCGTACTCAAAGTCACCAAGAAAATCTTCAACAAGATTTTCTGCTAGCAACATACAAAACATAAGCACTGGGTGATGTTTGCTGCTGTAGCCTCACGTAAAAATGGTCAGACAGCTACTTCATTTACTTTCCGTTCATGCTAGATCATAACAAAGTTGGTAATTTTGATCGTTAAGAGAAAGAAGTAGGCCACCTTCCGTTAGTGTTCTTCCATTGACCACAACGTGTAGGAAGACAGGTGTTCAGCATTTCGCAAAGAAGGAACAAGTTGCAACTTGCTAGAGACGTGAGAGACACCTGGAGACATGGACTGCAATCCAATCTGATGAGACGACATCTCAAACTCGAACACGAGATAATACTCCTTAGACTTTATGAT